GTTTTCGACGGTAAATTTAATGAAATTATAACTCCTTGTAAACAGTCCGGCTTCTTAAAATTAAAATCGGGGCATAAATCGGCGAATTAAAGAATATATAAATAATAGTGTAATAATAGTAAACGAATAGTGCTCAAATGGACCCAAACAAGAATTTTAAGAAATTGTTGTATTTCAATCCATACCACTAATTCAAAGCCGCAATAATAAATAAACTATTTTGTTTCCCTACATGCTACCATCTTCCGTGTAATTTTATAATTAAGCCCTGCCAGAACATCTCAAGTTTTTGATCGATGAACTCTTTGCCTTTTTAATTATTCAGAAATCGTGAGGTGCAGTCTGGTGTGATGTAGGCTTCGGAAAAACATTTTCTTTATCGTGCCAACGTTTCGTTCTTTATTGAGATCATCTTCAGGGCCTGGGATTCACAAACATTGTTTATATTTAACAAATACATTTACGATGTAGAAAAGTGAATTTATACAATGCAAAATATATTTTTTTTATTAAATCAAAATATTTATTACCATTACCAACACATTGTTTCCCTTCGTCGGCTCTCTTCACCTCAAAGAAGCCGACGCCTTATACAAAAATGTCTTTTCTATACCGACTTCCTTCCCCACTCCTTCAAAATCCAACGTATATAAACATAAAACAGCAAAATCTCACTGGCACTCTCAACACGACACGCAAGAATGGCACAATTACACAGAAGGCAAACACTTATAGTCAGTAGAAATACTTTGATTGAATAAAAAAAAATATATATATATATTTTGCATTGTATAAATTCACTTTTCCACATCCCAAATGTATTTGTTAAATGTAAACATTGTTTGTGAATCCCAGGCCCTGAAGATGATCTCAATAAAGATCTAAATGTTGGCACGATAAAGAAAATGTTTTTCTGAAACCTACATCACACCAGTCCGAATCTTACTATTTCTGAATAATCTTGACTGAGTTAAAAAAACCTAAATAAATCCATGCCAGTGATAATGTAAGCTACGATCAACTACTGAATATTGTCAAATTAGGCAAACATAAGAATGTTATCTGTGGTCTTGTAAAAGAAAACGATTTCTTAATACTTATCGATTAACGATCACTAATCACCTCACATTTCTCTGCCTTTTCTGCAGTTATCGTGTGAAATTTTTATCCGTTAATAGAGTTCTATAGAGCCTAATAATTACAAGTAAAAATTTGAAGAGGCAATGATCAGCGAATTCGGTCGGTGTAGCTCATTCCAGCGAAGCTCTAACAATATGGCGCGTCTGCAATGACATTTGGGGGCGATCGTTATTCTGATGGAAAACTATCCAACAATGGACACTCAGAACTTCTCCAATGCAAACCCTCTTTTCTTTTATAATTCGGAATATGGGAACCAATAGCGCACTCTCTTTCACAAAAACTGTCTCCTATTATGTATCGCTCCCTGTAAAAAGTCTAAAAGGTCTGCACTCCTAGACATCTGTGCGCCTTTTCCCTGCACGCAGAAGACCTCACTAGCAAGTTCTTCTCAGCCAACATGTGGGGAGCATATATCCCTCTGACAAACATATCCAGCTTCCCCCAGATACGTTAAAACACTTTTAAGTTGAGTTTAATTTGTGTTGGAATTTAGTCATCATCAACGGTTGAAAGTCTACAAGAACCCTTTGCGTCTTCCAAATCAAAATCTCCGCTTCTGAACCGAACAAACCACTTCAGACAGTACTTTCTCCTAAGTGTCATCACGACGGGTATAATAAATTGTTTAAGTAGTCTGAGCTACATTTTTCAATAAAAACCCATTAAATGTCGAAAATGCACAATTTTTTCTTCGCTTTGTAAGTACGAGATCTCAAACGTTAAATAACACTACTCAACCTTTTCAGAGTAGCACGTTACAATATTTTAATTATTATTTCATATCAATAACATTTTTTTTAATGTAAATGATATTAATGGCAGTGTTAAAGTTTAATGTTAAAGTAAATAAAACAATTCGTTCCTTCGTCAAGTTTTCGAGGAATAATTCCCTTCATATGTTTTTTGAAACTATTAATAATTCACAATTAATTAAGGTTTTTAGTTGAGATAAAAAAAGTCAATGGCACGAGCGGGATTCGAACCCACAATCTTCGGCTAGATACGCCGCTGCTCTACAACTTGAGCTCTTCCTCGATACACTCGGACACTAACTTCCCATCTCAACTCCACCTTTTGAATTTTTCCTCTTTTTTGCCATTTTTCAGTTAGTGTCCGAGTGGATCGAGGTGACGATAGCTCAAGTGGTAGAGCTGCGGCGTACCTAGCCGAAGATAGTGGGTTCGAATCGCGCTCGTGCCATTAACTTTTTTTCATCTCAACTAAAAACCTTAATTAATTGTGATATATTAATTGGTCAAGCGGACCACGAAATTAGTGAATTTATTACTATTAATAATAATTAACAAAGTTATAAATTATAAATAAATATTTCCAGTTCTGAAACTTACAGTATCAATGTGTTCACGAACGGCTATTTTTATTGTTTTTCAAAAATACCTGCTTCCAAAATCCCAGAAGCTTGTCGTGATATTTAATTATAATCTGGTTTGGGATGTTATTGGGTATGTGGTCCTTCAATGAACCATACACTGTAGTATACAGTTGCCAAGCTTTCGGCTCTATATTTGGCCTTCCTCAGGGCAATGTACGACGTCCAAAATAAAAATTATAATGTAATAACCATTTAAAAGTCAACAATTTTATAAATACATCTCTTTTAACAGAAATAGTAAGGTTATAATGATTCATATGGTTATTATAAAACAAGAATTAGTTGTATTAGAAACAGTTGTACTATTTAACCAGCCAAATATTGTTGCTGAGAATTAATCAGAAATTTCGATAACACTGTATATGTTGATATCATATTGACCTATTTCAACAGGCAGGTTTATTTCGTTTACGCCATTCCAAAAGTGTTTGTCTTGATCAGGTTGAAATTTTCCTAATCGCCACACAATAAACTCCAAATATTTCTGGTATGTAGAAATCATGTTAACAAATTGAAGAAGTTGATAGGATTGTGACGATGGTTTTGTAATATTATGCCGGCTAATAAATTTATCAATTTATCGCTTTATCCATCAAACTGTCAGGGTAAACGTTGCCTGCTATAAATGCGGTACGCTCCGAAAAAATGAGAAAGATTGTGAGAAAAGTTAAAAACCAAACAATTTATTATGTCTATGGTGAAAGCTTGTTGGCAGTCAATCAATGGCAAAGTGTTTTGTTCGGTCATGTTTGCACTTTTTTTCTAAATAGCAGAAAAATTGTGAAAAACTGTTATGTGTTTTAAACAGCCCAGATTTATCTATTGGCCACAAAAGGAAATCTAGCATCACTGATGAAATGATTGACTATTTTGAATATACTTGTCTACCTTCCAACCATTACTCAATAGCCTTGTGAAATTGAAAAAAATCTGTTCCGATATACGAAGTGCAAAAACTTTTATAAAGGCATAAACACGTTGTTCTAGTTTTTTGGCCAATAATGTAACTAGGCATTTTTAAGACAATCTATATATTACATACTTTTTACTTTTTTGTTAACACCTTCTCACACCATTTTTTGACTTTATCAGAGAATGAAATATATACAACTTAAAAGGAATTACTGCTTTCAGAAATGTGGTATCACGAGAATCTAATTAAATTTATAAAATCCATCGTAGTTATCAGTTATGAGATTTAAAAAATAATAATTTGTAGTAATTCTGTATTTCGCTCATTTCTGAATACATAGTTTTTACTAATGATCTAAAACAATTTTTTGTTTTTTTAAATATTATTATTAAATGCAAGCAAGTAAAACTTTTAAAACTACAAGTAAAAGTTTTGTACTTTTTTTCTGCTGTCAAGTTGTATAACTAAAACTCAAGAATTAGAAAAGATAAAAATCATATTACTTTAATAATAAGAAAAATCAAGATATAAAAGTAAAATCGCCATGCAATTCATAACAAAATTTATCTAAAAAAAAAAGAATTCGTTGAAAATTCTTCCCCCAAACTTAACCGGAGTTCATTTCGTGAGGCTATAAGCGGTTTTAGAAATTTTGTTCTACGTTTTTTTTATCCAATTCCCATGTTGCAGGAAACAGGAAATGTCGAAGGTAACCGTCAGCAATGGTCATACCCCAAAGGGAAAGGGGCACAATATCCCATTCCCTCTGACTGGAATTAAAAATCGGTGAAGTTGATCATGTGGCACCCAATTTATCCATATTTCAAAATATAATTTGATTGAATATAAAATTTTCTAGCATTGTAAAAATTCATTTTTGTCTCATCCTACATGTATTTGTAAAATTTCAACAACGTTTATAAATCCTAGGCCCTGAAGATGATCTCAATAAAGGTCGAAACGTTGGCACGATAAACAAAATGCTTTTCTACAACCTATGTCACACCAGACCACATCTCACGATCTCCGAATAATCATTTATACATATTACGCAATTAAATCTTTTTTTGAAAGAATTTTAAATATATACACGCCTGCGATCAACTTAATAATCAATCAATAGTATTTAGCATACATCATTTTAGTTGGTTAAGTTATGACATTTGCATGACCTGCAAATCATTCATAATTTAAATGAAACTTAATAATATCTATTAAGTAGTATATTACATGTCGATTTGCAGAGAATATTCTGGGAACACGTACAGTATCAATTACCGGAAATTATGCAATTATTTTAATTATTGATGAAAGTTTCGACATTATTGTTTTATTTATTTATTTTTAAAACTGTATCCTCTTATGAATTTTCATTTTATATGATGCTTATGAAAGTTGTATAATCATGTTATGGATTGAATGTCCAACAATTTATAGCTGATTAGGTGACGTGAATGGTGATATGAATAGATCATCTATGAATATTTAAAAAAAAATTGTAATACCCTGTCATATTTCGATCCATTATGTTTTTGTTTATTATCGTTTTAGGTTTCGTTCGGATCGACATCGCCGGCGCTGAGCATCAAGAAAGAGTTTCCACATTTCTACAGAACAGTTGCCCCAGACTCGTCTCACAACTTAGCGAGGATAGAATTTTTAAGACGGTTCTCGTGGGAAACCGTTACAATTTTTAGCCAGAACGAAGACGTCTATTCTCTTGTAAGTATCTTTCCACTTGTACTTACAGTAAGTCTGCCACTCGCCCTAGGCTAGGAAATTTCACGCCCCAGTAAGAGATTAGGTACTGGAAAGAATGAAAAGCAAGTCGTTGCCCCAGTAAACAAAACTCTCCGAACCAGTGGGATTAAAATATCAGAAAAACAACGCAAAACGTTTTGTTTCATTAAAGAAATTAAATTCATAAATAACATAGAAAAAGGGAAATAGTTAATATTAAAAGAAATCTCGACAAAACATATCTGCAAGCACATTCTAGTTTTTATTCTACTTTTACTTATTATAAAATTGTGCGATGACAAGATATTGAACAATCCTGTTTAAAAGTGAATATTACTACATTCATTACATAAAATACGGTATTGCTTTAACGTTTGTATTAACCGTTTAAAAAGGTCAAATGTCATACTTTTTACATACTGAGCATAAACACTTTTGATTAACTTAGAATTATTAGTAGTAAGAAGATTTACTTATGTTCTCTTATCATTTTATTGATGACCATTTTCAATTCAATTATACTTATCATATATTATTATGATCGTAATTAAAATTTACCTTTCTTGAAAGCATTATAATAATATTGCATCTACGAACACGCCATTCATTTAATACTCACTCGATTATCTTAAATGCGGAAAAAACTGTACTATCTCTTGATGGGCGAGGTGGAAAACAAAAAAAAGTCCACGCCATGGGCGTATTTTTGAAAACAAATAAAATAGAAATATAAAGATTTTAAAATAAATACATTAAAAAAGTAAAAAACCAAACAAATAAATTAAATAAAAGAAGAGCGACATGGCTATATGCTTAAATGGCAAAAACCAAAACAAAATGAGTTAAATCTAAAAATCATTTTATAAACAATTTCCGAGTGTTTGCAATGATCTTAACGAATCTATTAGCAAGCAAATTTTTATTTTAATTTAAATGTATTTCAACGAAACAATAATAACAATTAATAAACACTAATAATAATAAATAACAACAATAATAATTAACAATAATACTCTTTTAAATTCTGCCAAATGTTCTGTTATGACTTCAACAAAATAAAATATCCTATCAAATTTAATTACGCTTAAACACACACACACACACACACACACACACATTAATAAAACAATTGCTAAAGCGAATGACACTATAGGATTTATTACACTTCCGTTGTAAGAACAATATATTAGGTTATTGTTCACCTCTTTGGGCTCCCTTTCAATCCACCCGTATCTGTCGCATAGAACCGGTTAAATATTTTTTTTTTTACGCGATACATTACAGAACAACTGGAGTATACAGAGATACACCACATCCATCGCTAAAGTCAGGTCTGAAATGAACAACTGTTTTGTAAAGAAGAAAATTGTTTGATTGTATATTATTATAATTTATATAAATTATTACATTACTTAACTGGCCGACATGCTTTAACCGAATTAACTTTCATCTTCCATCTTATTATTCATATAATACAATAGAAATCATATAACATTTTCTACTGATTGCCATAGAACTAATTATTCCAAACTCAGTGTTATACTGAGAACAACAAAAATGTTAAACTCGATCAAAAATATACATATATCTTTCGATTAATTACAATTTTTGGTTGAGATAAAAAAGTCAGTATCACGAGCGGGATTCGAACCCACGATCTTCGGCTAGATACGCAGCTGCTCTACCACTTGAGCTATCGTGACCTCGATCCACTCGGAACCAACTTCCCATCTCAACCCCACCTTTTGAATTGTCCCTCCTTTTTGCCAATTTTTAATTAATTAATTGAAAGATATATTGGACGAAAAACTTTTGAATATACATATATGTGTGGTGATTAGGCCTTATACAAAAATGTCTTTTCTATACCGACTTCCTTCCCCACCTCTTCAAAATCCGACGTATATAAACATAAAACAGCAAAATCTCACTGGCACTCTCAACACGACACGCAAGAATGGCACAATTACACAGAAGACAAACACTTTTAGTGAGTAGAAATACTTTGATTGAATATAAAAAAATATATTTTGCATTGTATAAATTCACTTTTTTCCACATCCTAAATGTATTTGTTAAATGTAAACAATGTTTGTAAATCCCAGGCCCTAATGATGATCTCAATAAAGATCGAAACGTTGGCACGATAAAGAAAATGTTTTTCTGAAACCTACATCACACCAGACCGCATCTAATATTTATTTCGTTATAATTAATAATTGATAATTGCCTTATTTTAAAACATATTTCAAATGGTTTCATGTCATTTAAAAGTTTTTTAATATTTTTTTTATTATAAATATTTCTAAATTTATGTACAGCGATAACTTTTATTGTATACATTTGTAATTGGGAACAGTAACATAAATAAATAGGTAACTTATAATATGCTTTTAACCACTCGAAAGCCCAAAGCCTTGGACTTCGGGAAATATTCATACACCAAGGGTATCGTAACCACTAGTTTTCGTACAGTAGTTTAATATCTACAACCACTCATTTAAGCAATTCATTTTGGCCGGAAGTACTTGGGCTTGCAAGAGTAGGGATTGTTGGTTCGAATCCCGGAAAAGCTCGTGGAACATTAATTAGGGATAATTTGTAAAAAACTATTATAAGATGATTTGAACCCTCGTTCTCGATACCCATCGGTTTGTTGGAGTTTAAGCCATCCTGTACTACAAAAATTACTCTACTTAGAACTCCCGCTGTTCCCTTTGATTACAGGAGCAGAATAATTACAGATCACCAAATTACTTAAGAATAGAAAAACCCAAATCCAATGAAGACAAGCTTAGGAAACATTTTACTATTTAAACAACATTGATTAAGGTGCGTGATGTCTTCCGAAAGGATGTCCGGAGACATGAAAAATGAAAAACAGTTATAGGTAACTTCACTAAAATTACTAAAATTATTTATAAATATAAATAAACATTATCAACACCAACTAAACATAACCAAGAAAATCTACCAGCCGCATCTCATAAATAATAAATAAAACCAACTCAAAAATTTTAATTACCTTTAAATTTACATAAAATAAAATTTATATAATAATAAAATCCTGATATAAATGATAAGCCACAAAGAGAAAAATTCAAAACGAAAAAAGAAGCATAAGTACCATCCCCAACCAACACTTAATTTTTTTTGCAAAAAACGCCCATTTGTAAGTATCCAGCGGCCCTGGATTCGAACCCCGGACCTTTACCTTACGGTGATGAGTGCCGTGTCAACGCCTAAACCGCTGCGGCCACCGACGCACACCTTCACTGAAGTAGTGCCTTTTTGATTTTAGAAAAATCATTTGGTTATACCTAAAAGTAGTTCTTGATAAAAAGTTAACGCGGAATGCACATCTTAATAGAACGCAAAAGCTCTTGATACCAAACCCCTGAGATGAATTCTCTAATTCATATAAAAACGAAAATCTTCTAGTAAATTCATTAGTAGAGATCGACACAATTGGCGAATAGTTTACATGCTAAAGGAGCCTCAAATGCGGAAAAACATTTTGACCATGTCACCATAAGGTCTCTCGTGCATCTCAGTAGTGATCGGAGAGATAATCAAGGGCTCTGTTCTAGGCCTCCTTCTTTTCTATTTCTACATTTATGATCTACCAGAAAATAATTTTCTGGAACCCCTTATTTGCTCTTTGTGGATGACATCCACATCTACATGCGATATCTGATGTCATATATCGACAGATGCATTTGATTGATTAATGATGTTAAGATAAACTAAATCTTAATTAAAAAATTTAAGTAATTCCTGTCGGGAGGTCTTAACATCCAATTACCATTTGGGTATCGCGGATAAGGGGTCAATATATATATANAGTATATATATTTTTTTTTTAAGTTGGCTTTTCTGTAGGAAGTCTGGCGATATTTCTCGTTGTGTTCTGGGATATTATATCTACATTTTTAACCCTCCCACACGTGGTGAAAAGTCTTTGAAACGATCTCATTCACTAATATTCAATCCTAGCCTAGCCTATATGCGGGTTTCAGAATACTCGATATTCCTCTCCGCCCTCTTTCACGCTAATAAATACATCCGTACATTTTGTACAATTAAAATTACAATTAATATAAAATATTAACCTAGGTTGGTGGGTTTATGGGGTACTTGAAATTCCACCATAGACGCACCCATACATACACTACTATCGCACTAATAAATACATTCACTCAAACAGTAACCAATCATTCTGTATTTACAAATTTAAAAAATTCGGAGCCACTGGCGCATTTAATATTACAACAGTGTCTCCACCCATTCACTCTAAAAGATATTATAGCCTAATAATATCCATACATTCACAATAAAAAATTAGTAGTTAGATGACTAATTAGTTAATTAGTCATCGGAACCCAGGACCGCTCGCGTGGCAATACGAGTCGTACGTAGTAACAATAATACTTTGGTATTAATTCAACTAAAATGCCAGTTAAAAGAGAAAAAAATAGGCTTCCCTGTGCCTTCCTGGCGGCCTCGTTAAGGGAAAAAGGATCACAATTCATCCTTTCGTCCAGCAGAAATCAACTCAAGTAAATTGTCCTTTTGCCTATTATTAAAATAAAAGTAAGCTAAAATTCAACTTTTACAATCAAAGATACATTTCATTTGCCAAAGCTTTGTGTCTGTCGAGAAGTCTTATTACAAACTATCATTTTTAATATCCTCCATGTGAAAACTCCTAAATACCTATTCTCAGTCTTTGTTTAATAGCCAGAAGATAAAATAGACACGCACAACTCGTTCAAATCTTACTGATCATTATTTTCCTAAATAAAAAATATTCTCTTTTTCAAACATCTTTCATTATCACAGCATGAAAAATTCTAACACACTCCCAATATATGTGAAAAATGGAAAATTTCCATCTGTTTTCAAAAATCTTCTGTTTAACATAACTTTAAAACGAGACACTTCTTTTTCTTTTTCTAATAATTCCGTGAATAAATAATTTATTTCGTACAAAATAGATTGTATCGTTTTTACCAATTGTTTATTTAAATTAAATATATATATATATATATAAAATATAATTTCATGTTTATTTAAATCAAAAGGCTAATTAATAGTCTAAAAAAATTTCATAAATTTATTAAATGTAACTAATATTTTCCAGTAAAACAAGCTTGGCTGTCGTGCTAGTTCTATTCTTGAATGTCACCATATAACCCCTAGGAAATTGGGTCATGAAATTAATCAGTGTCACGCAGGAGGTGTAATTAATTTATTATACGTTTAAATATATCATAATAAATTTAAAATATACGGGACTATTTTGTAGGTACATATATTGGAAGGAAGGTAGCATATTGTGTATTAGCAATTTTCCTTCTTCTTCTTTTTTAATAAACGTCTATCTCGGTTTTGTTGACGGAATCGAGAGTTAGTTTTAGATGTCTTCTAAAACCCGGTGACAATGTCAAACTCGGTTAGGTTTTGATCCCAAGTTACATCTCGTGGGAAAAACTGTTTAATATTATTTCCTTCCATCCTACGGTTTATGTTGCAGGCAGTTAACGACCTCGTAACGGAGTTGGAACAGTCAAACATCTCCTGCGGTGCGACCATTACCTTTGCCGAGGCTGACATCAATGACCAACTCAAAATTCTTAGAGTGAGTATTTTCGACTTTACTGCATGCGGCACTCTAATGAAGACGACGTGGAAAATGTGTCGAGGAAAGTTCAACTTATAGTTTGTTAAATGCAAGAAAAAAAATCTACAAACATGACTTTTTAAAATTAAAAATATACTTTTTTGAAAATATACGGAAGTCTAGTCAACTATTGACTTTCTTTTCATATGGTTTTGTATTTAGTTCAATTCAATTCAAATCTGTAAATGAGAGTACAAGCAAATGAAATGTTGAGAAAAAGTGAAAACAATAGGAGAAGGCTATATGTGAAAAGAATGTGGGGACAAATTGTAGAGGAGATATTGAGAGAAAGAGAGAGGGAGAGTGAGGGAGAGAGAACGAGAAGAGAGAAGGAGAGAGTGAGGGTGAGATAGAGAGCGAGAGGGAAAGAGAGCGAGAGTGAGAGAGAGAGAGAGAGTGAGAGAGGGTGTGAGCGAGGGTAAGAGAGAGAGAGAGAGAGAGGGTGTGAGCGAGGGTAAGAGAGAGAGAGAGAGAGAACGACAGATTAAGAAAGAAAGATGCAAAAAGAGAGCGTGCCAGTAACTGATAAGTAAAAAAGTTTAAACGTTGAATAGATTTAAAGGAAAGATAACGAAAAATGAAAAAGAAATTAATATAAGGAAAAACATGCAGAGCTAAACAGATTGAAAAATAATAGGACAGAGAGGTTAGAGAAAGCTAGAGAAATGGTGAAAAAACATTACAACAGAAGAAAGAGAAAGAGTAAGAAAATTAATAGCTACAAATTTTTAATTTTATAAATAGTGATCTTCTTTTGATGTTTTATGTTTTCTTTGGAAAATAATATTTGAATGTAATTGGCACTTAAATCGTAACGTTTTTTTAATTACTGGTTCATACTATACCATGAAAACATACAATTCACATTGTTGGTTAGATATATCGAACTCTTTTAACTTATGAATATTCATGATCTCGGAAAGGTGAGGATTAAAAAAAATTAAATTGTTATCTGCCAATTTTTTTAACGTATTTTCAGGTCATGATTAAATCCTTAAGATGTATACAAATAGACATAATTAAGTTTTTCATAGATTGTTTCAAATTTCTTTGAAGATACACAGACCGAACATTGCCAAAGACTATGACTACTTGATTATGTTGTCCTGATGATAACCTTAAAATAGGTCGATTGCTTGGCAGCTAACAACTGAACTTTTTCATCTAGACTATACCGAGACCCTGATTATCCGTGTATAACGTTTATGATTTGTTTTATAGGACAATAGAAACACATTTCCCGTAATTTTAGAATACTTTTTGTTGCCGATAGTATGTTGGTTTTTTATTAATTAAGGAAACTAAACCATCTAATTGTATTAATTATCGAAATGCTGCCATCCCTGTAAACATAAATTTGAAGTGTTTAATCGGGCCTGCTCTGTAAATTCCGTTCACAATTAACTTTCATGTTTCTTGTAGGCTATTTGTCTTTATTCAGCTAACGGGGATAGGGCTTAAATTCACGAAAAACAAGCGGTTCCCGTCAGTGTAAATACGCGTAGTACCAACCATTGTAATTTAGGTGCAAATTGGTGCTATACATAATGGATGACAGCAATTTTTCTCTGTTGGGCCGGGAGTTTGGTAATTTCAAGGTGTCGTGACAAATATTCGATTATTTGTGATGGAAACATTACTTTCTTGTGAAGGCTAAAGACTAATTAAGATTTTTTTTCTGCGTCGAAAAGAAATTATAAACGCCCATTGTGTATAAATCGATGGACAGGCTAATTTTTCATTATCGTTCTTAATTCGGGGAGAATGGAAGGAGAAAGTCCATCTGTGGAAAACGAGAGCAAGAATGGAACAAAAGAGCCATTAGTGAAAAAGGGAAACAGCTCCATTAACCAACCTATCTTTCACAAAACATGATCAGCTCTAGTAACAAAAATTCCACTACCCCCTATAAATTCATTTGGATCTCTTGATGACCTTTTAAATAAATCAGCTCCACTAAGGAAAATTCCTGGAACGGAAGGTAATTGAATTTGAGACCTTCGGCTGATTAAAATGCAGTTTGATTAGTCAGTTCGCAACGGACTAATTTGCAATTAAACTTAATTACATTGCATGCCTTCATTTTTTCCGTTTTATTAAATTTTCTCTTCTTTACTTCCGTTTACTACTTTTGTTTCATTAATGCACATTTTTTTCAGGAATTAGATACTAGGATCATAATTGGAAGTTTCTCACATTCTGTGGCGCCTAAAGTGTTTTGCGAAGTAAGTTTATCATTTTTCTAAATATTCATATTTCGTTTAAATTACAGATTTAGCAACGCTTTTCTACGTCCTAACAAGGTTTAAAAGTTATGGATACTATCTCCTCTGCTCTAGAGAACAAAGAGTAATGATAGGGTGCTTTCGTAAATACAGCATAGGCTTATGGTATGGCCTGGCGTCTGGGGCATGCTTTATAAACTTAAACACGATCTACCCTCTCATGATCCTGAAATGTTATGTAACCTAACGCTGCTTTAGGTGTGGCAAGGAGTTTTCAGAAGTCAGACAAATACAAGCCGGCGTTCCACATGGGAACATTCTCGGTCCCATCATTTATATCATTTATACTGCTGACCTATACACCCTAATACCATCATCTCCATCTATTCGGACGATACCGCAATTTTGTCTACTAATTCGAATTCTATCCAACCTACCTCCAATATTCAATCCTTGAGCTTATCGAAGACTGGTGCCAAAAATAGAGGACAAAATTGAATGAAGAAAAGTACATTCAGTAAGTTCACATAGAAAAAGAAAGCCTTGCTCCCCACTCACTATAGATCAAAGAGATACCGACTTCCATTCAAAGACATAGAGACTATACCTAAACATCTTACTGACGTCGTATCCCCACATAAAACTTAAGAAAAAACAATAGAAGACGTGGATGACTACGCACACTTCTATGACCAAAATCTGTCTTGACCATCAACTCTAAACTTTGCATTAGATTACTTCGACCACTTTGGAACTCTTGAGTGGAATTGCTGGATTCCGCCAAGTCTGCCAAAATCCAGCGCATCCAATCAAAAAACCTCAGACCAATCGTCTAAACTCCTTACTCCGTCACTAACCTCGCTATCCAAAACGACCTCAACATTCCTTCTTTGGTCAACATACTTATCCGTTCCCGCTTCTAAAATTTTCACATCAATCTAACCCTACTGCTTGAGCCCTATCTACACATTTCCATTCTAACAACCCGCCACGTCGCCTTAGTCGACGATGGCCTCAAGATGTGGCATGTGTCTTCCGGGTGCAGTGCTGGCATTAGTGTAAGTGCTGTGACCGTTGAAAAAAAAAGAAGTGTTTTGACCAGATTTGCAACATTATGTAATTGAAAATTAATTATATAATAGTATGTATAGAATATTAAAAAATAAAAAAGGTATATGATAAAAATATATAAAGTTTCAATGACATGGTGAATATATTGCTCGAAAGCTTGGCAAAGGGAGAAAGGTTTTTCTTTTCTTTTGATCGTTTTTTAATAAATTTTGAATATTAATCACTACTTGTATAGTGGTTTAGAGCTAATCATTATTTACTGTTAATTCATTGGTCACTTAGATAAGTTTCTTAGTTACTTATTTTTAGTTGACATGTAGGCTACACTACAATTGTGAGCAGTATACGCTATAATTAACTCATTTTAAGGTTTAATTGATTAAGGTTTGTTTGGCCTGAAACGAGCCCTCAATAAATGAAAGCTTTCCAATCCTATTAATATACACGAAATTACCTTATTGCGATTTAATACGGTATTTGGAATTAATGTTATGTGCCTGCGTTTTTTCTCAGAGTTTCCTCTTTGAACATTATTGTGATAGATTCAATATTAATCTCCAGTTACTAGTCTTTTTAAAAATGGGTAGCTTACGTTGCGTTTTAGCGTGGAATCACAGTTAGAGATACGGTATAATAAATTCTTCTATAAACATGTGTGAAGGGCATATATCGCAGCGACAAACACTCCCAGCTGCTCTCAAATGCGTTGAAATGTTCGTATGAGTTATGCTAAATGTCTCGGAGATGATTAGTGTCGTTGAGTGTGGGTTATTTGTGAGAAAATCTAGAGGTCGGTCATCATCAACGGTTGAAGGAGCAAACCATTTGCGGACGGTGCTTTCTCGTAAAACGCTATTTTCCTAGCAATCTGATCTGCGGGTTTTCCTTAGGGCAAAAAAACCCATTAATTAAAAATTCTACTATTCTCCAGCGAGTTTAAATTAGTAAAACACCCTGTAAAAATAGGACATCTCGAACGAAACTGACGAATAAAAACATCTAAACTCTTATCATAGTGTAATCAATGATGACTTTATAAATGTTGTCATAAAACGCAAAAAAGATAAAATCTAACTACTGAAAAACCCTATATATTTATTTTCCACCCCAGTGGTTTATAGGAAAAATCTATTCAAAAATATTACATTAACGGGGATGTGAACAAGGAGTTTTTTTTATCGGGCTGAGAGTTCAACCTCGACTTACTTTACTTTCGCAAACGACAAAACTGAAAAAGGTGAAAAGAACCAAGATAAACTGCTCGATTAGGCGGGCCAGATTATTTGAAACGATTAAACAGTGCATAAATAAAGCCCAAAGGATTATTTGAAAAACCAAATGTATGCAATGAACTACACTTACTGCACTCAATATATTTCTTTTTCCTTAAAAATATTATATTTATTTAATTATACTGATGGAGTGATCGAGTTTGTGGTTGTTTCTTAATCGCAATACAGTTCTGCCTAGCTTTCTCTATTTGAAGTCATCCTCATGTTCTGAATTTCAATAACATTTTAAAATTTCAGAAAACTGATAATACAATATTAATTTAATTTTTATAATTGCTTATATATTATAAATAAATGAGTAAACAATAATAGCTTTATCTTAATTCTCCGTCTGATTAATCCACCTACTTAATACTCATAAAACTTGCAGTTGGAAACACACAAGCCAATAAAAAGGACAAAAAAAGAACCAGTCTAAAAGTAATCAAAAATATGTTAATAATTAAAAACAAACTTGTAAATAAAGAAGACGTATTTTTTTATTTCTTAAATGCTAAATTTTTTAAATTATTATAATATCATTATTTTATTTTCTAATAATACTGTTGCTAATTCCTCTTATGACTAAAACATCCAAAAGGATGCTCCAATTAAATTGTAATTTTTATATTTTCATGGTAATCATTAAATAACTTAAGGGTCAATCCTGTACATTTGGTATCGTATTATATCAATATAATTGCAAATATTTTTTCAACATGCTTGGATAAAAATTTGATATTGTAAAGTAAGAGTACATCCCAATTAAGTCTGTAGTCACTGTACACTAGTGGAGAAAGTACACCTTCCTTAGCGGTCCCACCGTTTTGTTTATAAAAATGATTTCCTTATTTAAAATACCCATTAGTGGTGACATACCTGATAGTTTATTAATGTAATTATCGTATTAAAGAAGTCGCTATGTCATATGTGTCAGTTTTGACAACGTTTGGTTGGAAAAGTCACTGTAATATCGCCTCGGGTGATCCCTTTGTGCAATTGTCCTCCTTTACATCAAAGCGTTTGCCATATTAGTATTAATTGTTCGAAATAATTTCTCTACTCTTGGAACCGAGAAAAGACTTAAAACTATAAATTTCTGGATATTTTGAAATTATGATGTGAAGGTAAGATCATTTTCAAAATTAAATTAGAAATGAAAAGTTAGAAACGGCGCAGTATATTTTATGCCGATACTATTCTCTTGTTTTTAAACAACCATTATAATTTTATGTCATGTTAGTTTTCAGGTTAACCTATTAAGATTGCTCGATGTATAAAAGCAATTTTAAGGATATAAGCAAATTGAATAAAATGGTATTATTTTCTTACTGTAAATGAATTGAAGAATCATTGTCCAAAATATCTGCACAGTATAAAGTCTCAAAATAAAATCTATCGAAAATAATGAATTGACCGTCAATACCTAATTGTTAAGTACATCAGTATATATAAAATAGTTCGTGACCAACAGACAACGTATAGACCAAATCCCAGTTTCTACAGACCTGAAATTTTGTGAGTGCATTCCTATAGTCACGAGAATAGCCACTAAAAATTCCAACCCTAGTGCACATAAAAAAACAATTCAATCGCTGACTGACAGACAATGTGTAGACCAAATCCCAGATTCTACAGGCCTGAAATTTTGAGAGTACGTTCCTATAATGACAAGAATAGCCACTAAAACAGGAATTATAGAAATTCCACCCCTACCTATACATAAAAAACAATTCATTCACTGACTGACAGACAACGTATAGGCCAAATCCCAGTATCTACAGGCCTGGAATTTTGAGAGTGCATCCCTATAATGACGAGAATAGCCACTAAAAAAGGATTTCTAGAAATTTCATCCTTATCTACACATATAAAACAATTCCGTCACTGTCTGACAGACAACGTATAGACCAAATCCCAGTATTTACAGGCCTATAAAACAGTTCCGTCACTGAAAGACAGACAACGCACAGACCAAACCACCGGATCTAAACGGCTGACATTTCAACAGTGCATTCCTACTGCAGCTAAAAATGTATTTTTTGAAATTCCATCTATGAGAGGATTATATGAACAATGTTTTTATGTTAACTGCAGAATAAAATTTAATTATCGAGACATTATATTAGAAAGTCACACTAGCACTCTGCAGGTATTAGAAAGGTACATTAAAACAGAGTCCTTCTTGGACAAAGTCGCGGGTAAAATAGTGTAAATAAACTCGATAATTTTACGTTATGATGCGAAAAATACAATAATTTGCAAAATTAAAAATGTATCTTATATTTTCAAAAGCATGCCATACTGAACAATATACTTGTCAGGTATTTTATTTTTTATGGAAAATTGCGTTTTGGTTAGCAGTTGATTGATGTTTTCTTCCAACTGATCGACGAATTATCAGTTTAACTTGTCTATCTTTGTTATACGTTTGGAACCATATGTTATTTTCATATTGGACTATTGTAAGGTATGACCATAATTAATTTTTACAATTTTAGTAAAAAATTGGACTTCTAATGACAAAGGTGCAAGCGTAGCATATTGAAAATAACTTAGCCCATGAGAAACCAATAGAAAAAATTATTTCTCGAAATAATCAAGAAAGGAACATCGGGAAATTGAAAGTTATTCATACATTACTACATTGTCGGTCAT